TTTCATCAGCGGATGGTATTGCATGGTGCCCACGTTTTATCGCTTTGTTAAGATTTCTAGGATCAAGGCATATCCGTAGTTTCCCATTAGGCTTTTCAACCACTACCATACTATTAACCCAATCTGTTGGCTGATTAACTTCAGATACAATGCCTAACTTCTCTAATTCATTAAAGGTTTTTCTTAACTCTTTATATAAGGATTGAGGCACTCTTCTAGGAGCATTTATTACAGGAGCAACATCCGGTTTTACCTCAATGTGACAAGGTTCCCCAGGAAACTTTCCCAATCCCTCAAATACAACTTTATATTTTTCAACTACTTTTATTTTAGATTCAAGAGTATCAATGCATTTAACCAATTGTAGCTCTTCACAAGCTTGTAAACCTAGGATAGGCTTCGATTTCACATCAATTACAATAAATTTAAGTAACACATCAGAATATTTGTCAGTGCAGCACATTAAATCTATGGAACCAATAGGTTCCAACTTGTTATTTCCATACGACACTAAAACAACATCAGTTGAGCTTAAACTTTTTTTCAAATTTAATGTTTCGAAAATATGCACAGGCAAAACATTTACTTGTGCCCCAGTATCTAACTTAAAAGACACCTGCTGACCCTCAATTGATATTGTTTTAAGCCATTCATTACAATTTACCGAGTGAACATTAAGCACATTATCAACAAAAAGACAAATATCATTATTGTCACTACTATTAGAGTCACAGGCAAATTGTACCTCATTCACATTTTTGTTATAGTTGAACTTACCTTTGCACATCACAGCAAAATGATTCTTTTTTTTACACTTATTGCATAGATCATTATATGCAGGGCACTGCCCTCTTTTGTGCATTCTACCACATGACTGGCAGTCCACATTAGGATACGGATTTCGAGCATAACTGCTACCTTGCCCTTGCTTTTGAATCACATCAATACTACTGCTATTTGTTGACCCATTAATAGTTTCAACTTGTCTTCTGCTGAGTTCACATGCACGAACACTGTCAACAGCCTTGCTTAGAGAGCCCAGACTGGGCTCTCTAAGTAATCGCTCTTGCAGTCCAGTGTCTTTCACTCCAAGTACTATTCTATCTCGAATCAAGCTGGTTTCCTGGTCTCCAAAATTACACGAAGCAAATAGAGTTTTCAGTTTTGTCACATAGTTGTCAATGCTTTGACCATCCTTTTTAGAGCAGGAGAAAAATTTAAACCGTTCAAAAACTTCGTTACTTTGTGGAAAACAATAATCATCAAATTTTTTAATAATACTATTAAATGTCTTTTCATTATCTTCTAACTTAAAGGTGTTATGGATATTCTCACCTTCATCACCGATTAGATTCAACAAGATTGCTATTTTAACTGCATCTGGTTTTTCATCTTTCTCCGAGGCTACAAGGAAATTATCAAGTTTCTACTTCCATTTTGTCCAATTTTCTTTCAAATTGCCACTAAATGACATGGCTCCAGGTGGTTTGAAGGTTTCCATTTCAATTATTACTTATAAGAACAGGTGAACACAAAAAGTTCCATACACTACTAACTTATTTACACATGGGTACATCTTTTTCCCCAGGAAAATGCTTTTCTGACACCATGTTGTGTCTTTGTAGCTATTTAATAACCTTTTTAGTTAAATGATAAACAAAGTCAACATTATTTAGGATTAGTATTTATTATTAGCCTGAAACAGGAAGCACGTTGTTACATCTTGTATATACATCAATCCAGCAAGTGCAGTTGAAGTTGTAGTTGTTATATCACACCCTTTATGTTATAGTAGGTACGCAATTACAAAAAAGAAAATTTTCATCAATTTACAACTCTATCTTAATACAATTTCTTTCCTACATATATATATATATATAATTAGAGTACTTTATTTGTAAAAACATGATGTGGTCTCTTCATATGGGGCCCCCTTGACCGTCGGGGCCCCGGGGTGGTGCCCCGGCGTAGTTACGACCCTGGTCTCCTCCAAAATGTAACAATTCAATCTTCGGAAGACGCATTCTTCGTTTTGTATTTGGCGATGAAGTGACGGAACTCGCCGCTCCATTCAACGCACTTTGTTTACTGAAAAAGGTTTCACTTTTCGTTTTCGCCAAATCCATTTTTTGATCATATTCTTCAAACTTATTATATTCAGCTTCAAATTCAGCGTCTGTTTTTATATCGTTCAAAATTAATTCGTCACATTCTTTCATTTTATTAAAAACTCTATCTAAAGTAAAACACTGCTGTTTGACGTTTTCACTGTCAGGTGTTTGTTTTCCTAATTCGTCAAATAAACTTCCTACTGTTTTGGTAAAAGTCATTCTAAGTGGTTTACGTTTTCTGATTATGTCCTCCATTATACAAAAATGCAATGCTTTTCCCCACACTATAAAATATTTCACTAACCTGTGTCAACTACGGATCACGTCAACGGGTCACCAAATGTTGCGTCCTTATATAAATAACAAGTTAGGAATCTTGAGACATCGTTATAAAAAACAACTTTGTTTATTCTTTTTCAACTACTCTCTCTAGTTACAGAATCGCTCGTAACAATGACATCATGAACAACGTTGCCACCGGAATTTGAGCCAGCACAAAAAACAATTAAATTATAACACCTCGTAACACTTACCACTTTTCCGTGAATACTCGAAATCAAAGAATTCCTCTATTTTCACCGTCTTTTTAGTAAAATAATTAATGAATCCAAAATTGCAACATTTAATACTTGGAACTCAGCGACTATCGACAAATTGTGTGAAATGGTTGAAGTGTCGATTCGATGGATGGGTGATCGTGTAAAGCTAAGGGTGGTGGCGCTAGTGGTAAAATTGCTCTTTCAAGACTTCCGGGTTATTGCTTCCGATATATTTTTACGCCGCAGATTGAAAAAACGCGCCATCATATTATTGCATCATATCTTTTGCAGTATTTCACGTGTACCGAGTTCTTTCTTTCAGCCTTTAAACTTCAGCATTATCATATTAATATTATAATCATTAGAATATTTTCTAATTAGGCTAACTTAAAAAGATATTTTTAAAGATATTTTATTCAAATGTAGCCAAATAAGGGATAAAATACAAAACATGGCAAACCTTAAGAATTATTCACAGTGAGATATTAACTTTCCAAAATTTTTTTTGGCCTTACGACCTCTGAGAATCAATACATTTCTGAAAGCTCTTATGAATGGTACAATTATGTTTAGATTTGAACCCAAATTACAATGACAAAACTGCATAGAATATTTGGCTTGTTCACACATCGCCTCGTAGATATAACATAAGCGGAGGGATACACCGGAAATTTTCTAAATTTCTTCCGGTTTAAGGACGCTTGTTATTGTTTACATTAGACCATAGAGTGTAACTCAATTTACTGTTTCAGAATTCTTGAAAAAGAAAAATATTAAAAATAAAATATAATAGTTTATTTGTAAAACAGAAACTTTTATAAAGGTGAATTGAGGATGACATATATGTTATTATTTTCCATAGAGAATATAAAATTTTGATGTGAAAGATATGAATTGATCCCTGAACAATTTATTTTAGGTTAAAAACAATTTAACTCAAATAATAATCCAATCATCATAGAATTTTGAAAATTATGAACTGAAGGGTAGTTGACAAATTAAATGTTTTTTAAAAAAATATTTAAATTCATTTGGATTTAGTAAAAAAAAATCATAGTAGAAAAATAGCTTTTATCAATTGACACTATAAATTATTTAATAATTTTTGTTATTTAAACAGAATTTAACGATTTAAATAAGATATTTTTAATAAAGAAGTATCCTATTTAACAGGTACTCTTATTTGTAATTTCCCCCCAATATTTTGAAAGTAAAAGAAAAAAAAACTAGGTTGCATCCCCGGCACGATCATTTAATTTAAAATTTATTAATCCTTTAAAAAAGACTCATTTAAGTTCATCACTTCCTTTAAAAAATTACTTAAACCTCTAATTAAGAGTCAATATAATTCCGAGAATTAATATCTGAATTTTATGATATATTATTAGCTAACTAAAAATTAAGGTCACTAAGATTTTTAAATTTAAAAATGTGTCGTGGAAATAATAATACAAGAGAAATGGTTTTCAAGATTTCGGCTCGTATTATAGGCCATGTTGCTTCGAATTATCATAAATGGTTACTCTTGGAGGAGAAAAGAGAACTCGATTGGAAAACTTACATTTCACAGCAAGATTTGTCGAGTCTGGTCAGGGGCAAATTCCTAAAATGGACGAAACTCAGATAACATTGAAATCCGTTTAAATATCATCACCGATGAAAATGTCGACAATGAAAGAATTTCGGTATAGTCGGGATTTTGGCTTGTATTATCGGTCATCTTGCTTCGAATTATCATAAGGAAATTTGGTGTCTCGGGTATTCACTAGCTTGGAAGGAGTGCCAACCAAGGCTGACACGTCCTCTTTTGATTATCTTCGAAAAAGAATGAGGGTCGAGTTCGAATTATCATAAATGGTTACTCTTAGAGGAGAAAAAAAAACTCAATTGGAAAACTCACATTTCACAGCAAGATTTGCCGAGTCGGGTCCGTGATGAAATAGCAACATTGGCAAAATACTGATAGCGTTTAAATCCATTTATACCAAGCTTACAACACAAAAACGAGGCAAGGCTTCGAGATTTAGGCTGGTTTGAGACTATGAATATAAATACACCTTAAGCTGTTTTTATCTCCTTCTGAAAACGTAATATGTTCGTTTTAAGCAAATAATACTAAAATAATAATAATAATAATAATGCAGACTCAACTTGACTTTGCCAACTGGATGAACTCGGTGAACACCCCTCTCACTCCCCCATTGACGACGGACCTGGACCTGGATCCACATAATGAAGCCGTTAAGTTCCCTGCAGATGTGTACATATTATAGCCGAGAGGGCTGGATCTGTCAATCTCACAAGCCACAGAACGAGGATTTGAGTACCAGGGTTGACACTACAATATTTCCTCCATTGCCTTCAACATATGAAGAGTTACCAGTGTCCAGCTCTCCTCAATTTGCGAATACGATTCTCTCATTTACGCGTAAGTTCAGCAGCTTTTTGGTGCTGCCACCATCTCCAGTGTTCAGTTACATTTGTTTTTTTACGGTTTTGAAACCGTGTTAGTTGNTTATTACTGCTTGTTCGTGTTGCAAGCTGTGCACCATCTTACGTTAGTGTTAACACTTTTAGTATTGTAAACAGTATTGTTAGCATTGTAAACATAAGTAATCAAATGCATTGTTTGCAAGAATCTCAAAACACAATGATGCCAAATGGCTTTAAAATACAACTGAAACAGTAACCCGGAAATTTAGGCAGTCCCGAGCTTGCAGCGCTCCCTAGTGTAGAAAACACCATTCATTATAGCCGAGAGGGCTAATCTGTCAATCTCACAAGCCACAGAACGAGGGTTTGAGTACCAGGGTTGACACTACAATATTTCCTCCATTGCCATACGAATAGTTTCCAGTGTCTCCCCAATTTGCGATCATGGGATGTTAGAATACGATTCTCTCATTTACGCGTAAGTTCAGCAGCCACCATCTCCAATGTTCAGTTACATTTGTTTTTTTTACGGTTTTGAAACTGTGTTAGTTGTAAATGGTTAAAAAACCGTTTAGTTTCGTATTCATGGTTAAAGAAATAGTTAGCGAGGAAAAAAATTAATAATATTGACGAGATACAAAACTTTTTATAATGAACACAATCATCTTCCATACGCTATCAAAAATTATTCATTAAGAACTTATATTTTCTTTCATGCGTCATAGATTAATCGCATAAAATCCGCAACTAAAATATAATTATAAATAATGACGAGATATGTGATGCAGAACTTTTTATACAATCATCTTCCATATTTTATGAAAGATTAGTTATTAAGTTCTTATTTTCTCTCATTGATATTCATACGTTTTAATAATAATATTGAATGCGAAACTAATATAATTGTAAAAACTTACGAAAGAAAAATACTTAAAAACTTTTTATAATGGACAAAACCATCTTTCATGCTCTATACAAGATTATTTATTAAGTCCTTGTTTATTGAATCCTTATTTATTAAATCCCTTTTTTCTTTTTCCTATATTTGTGCTTTAGATTAATCACCTAACTACGCAAATAATTTAATTGTAAAAATTGATGGTAAAGGTAATACAAAACGTTTTATAATGAACAAAACCATCTTTCATGCTCTATACAAGATTATTTATTAAATCCTTGTTTATTGAATCCTTATTTTCTTTTGTCGACTACGCAATTAATTTAATTGTAAAATATGACATTAAAGGTAATACAAAGCAAAAAACTTTTCATAATGAACACAGCCAAATTCCATGCTCTATCACAGATTATTCATTAAATCCTTATTTTCTTTTACCTATATTCATGTGTTTTAGATTAATCGCATATTTGCGCAATTAATTTAATTGTAAAAATTGGCGGTAAAGATAATACAAATCTACGAAACTTTTTTTTTATAATGAACACAACTATTTTTCATACTCAATCTAAGAACTTAACGCTGTACGTAAAGCTTGATATTTCGCGTTACGTAAACAGCCTTCAATCCACGAAGGTCATTATAATCGCTTCTAAATACTGTCATATATTTCTGATAGTGCGTGTTAGATTGACAAGGAGAGGTGTAATAGATAAATTTGTTCTGGATATTTTTTTTGATAAAAAAAGTTTTAATATCAAAAAAGAAAAAACCTTATTATTTGGTTTCCCATTAAAGACAATGCTGAAGCCATTTTAAACTGTCCTATGAAACTTTGAAAATGTTCTTTTTTCATATTGATTATGTTACGAAAACACTGGGAGTGTTTATTGTTTCGTTAATATTATGTAGTATAATTTACAGATGGTTTCGATCTAGAAATTATCCCCCAGGACCTATTGGTTTACCGTTAATTGGTTACGGATTCTTCCTGGGTAAAAAACCTAACCTAACACTCCAAGATTTAGGTAATAAATATGGCGGCATATTTAGGTAAGTTTATCTCTTATTTATTTAAATAAAGAATACAGATATCTTCGTTTTAAAAGTTCTAATTTTAATCTTTTTTAATATTCAAGAAAAATTTATATTTCTAAAACTGACTTTTTATACACTTTTACAAACGTTTATTATCATGTCTAATTCATTTTAATAAATCTAGAAAGAATGCATTATTTATCTTATATTATATTATTATTTCTTGAAAGAATACAAATGTCCTAGTTTGAAAGTTCTAATACTTGGATTTTTAAATTTACCCTTCAAATTTTTTTCCCCCACTTAAAGCTATTTTTTTTTCATGCTTATTTAAAAAACTGTTAAACCTCATATTTCAGCATATATTTATTAGCATATCCTATTCACATTAAAATAAATGTAGAAAGAATACTACTGTCCTAATTTGAAAGTTCTTATGTGTTTATCTTTTAAAATTTCCTTTTAAAAGTTTTTTTTCCTTCTCAAGGCTATTTTTGTTACATATTTATGAAACTGCTTTTTTATATTATATACCTTTTGATATATATTCATTAAGATATCTAATTCATACAAATAAGTGTATAAAAATTCTAGAAGGAATACCATTATCTTAGTTGGAAAGTTCTAATTTGCTTTTTCGTATATTTTTAAATTTTTTATTAGCACATCTAATTCATTTAAATAAATCGAGTAAGAATGAATAATTTATCATTCTAGAAAGAATACAAATATCTCAGTTATAAAGTTCTAATTATCCGATTGGATGTACTTTTTAGCTAGATGCCTGGGGCCATATAGCCCCTTAGCCCCACTTTCAGTACGCCACTGCATTTTAATAACAACGAAAAAAATATTTTCATCTTAAAAAATTAATTTTAAAACAATAACTTTTAAGTCAAAATTAAGGAGCTCCCTTGCTCCCTTCTCTACCCTTTCGTCACGCTACTGCATTCTAGTAACATCCTAAAAAAATATTTTAACTTAAAAACAAACTTTAAATAACAATTTAAGTAAAAATTAAGGAGATTCCATCCCTACTCTTTCGGTACGCCACTGAATTCTAATTGCAATTTAAAGAAATATCTTAACTTTAAAAATAACTTTACATCACAAATTAAATTGCAGCTTAAATAAAAGTTAATAGATTCAATATTTTAGTGTCCTTAGTAGCCTAATGGACGTCCTTGATTAGGTTGGATAACTGGGGTTGTTGCCCTTTCACCCCTCTGCACTGTGGGCCAGAAGACCATGATCTTTGGCCAAAAGTCAAAAATTAAATTTTCAACTAAAATATGTGTAGGCAGTTTTAATATAGCCCAAATTAAGTATTTATAATCATTCCAAACATTATCATTTACTTTTTGGACCGACGAGAGTACAATGTAATGAAAAATATGTTAAATATTTTTCTTTTTTTTTTAATGTAACTTTTAAATTTTTATTCTAGAAATATATATAGGAGCTTCACCTAACTGTTACATTTTTATCAGAGTAATTAGTCTGAAATTATAGTACAATTTTTCAATTTGTTGGATTAGTTAATACTCTTGACAAACTTATAGTTTATATCTTATCATTTGACATTTTACAATGTTTGAATGACTTTCGAAACTTAGTTCCAAAAAGTTCCACGAGGTAATTAGCTAAACTTTTTTTTGTTGTCTTCTTTGATGTTTCTTCTTTCGAAAAAACCTGCCCCATTTTGCCCGTATTACAAAGGTGGACTAAATATACTGAAAAGCAAAAATTTTTTTTTTTTTCATGTTTTCGCGTTATTTTGTAATTAATTCGCGTTATTTTGTAATATTACTTCGGAAATATAATTTGCTTTTCATTTTTAATATAAAATTACGAAAATTATTATATTTTCATTGCTATATTTAATTATTTAAACGTACTATATTATTACTTTTATTTTAGCTCGTCATATTTCAGCCGCCATTTTGTTTTTTTTGGGGTATTTTTAGTGTATTTCAAAATTTCAACTATGAATTCAATTTACCTGCAGATAAAAACCCCTCTATAAAAGCCCTCAAATTTTGAAACAAATTTTATCGAAATACTAATTTTGGCCACGAAACCTTGGATGCTGGCCCACTGTGCACTGCTGTGTGTAAAAACTTTTAATTTTCTCATGAATAACTAATGTTCTGGATCGGCTGTTCCCGATTTATTCCGGCCATGGAAATCTAAATGATCAAACCTTCTTCCGGTGGAACCCAAACTTTATATACATATTCCCGATTTATTCCGGCCATGGAAACCTAAATGATCAACCTTCTTCCGGTGGAACCTAAACTTTATATACATATTCCCGATTTATTCCGGCCATGGAAACCTAAATGATCAACCTTCTTCCAGTGGAACCCAAACTTTATATACATATTCCCGATTTATTCCGGCCATGGAAACCTAAATAATCAACCTTCTTCCGGTGGAACCCAAACTTTATATACATATTCCCGATTTATTCCGGCCATGGAAACCTAAATGATCAACCTTCTTCCGGCGGAATCCAAACTTCATATATAAAGTTTGTAAAGACAATTGTGAACGTATTAACCAATAAAAGACTTTATTGTGAAAATACTTAATAAGAGGACTGAAATTTTCTTATTTTTTCATTACTAATCTTAAATTAGGTTTTAGGTCCGACAGTTAAATTAACAGTTCTGGATCCGGGAGCTGCATCTAGTTTAGTTATGAAGTTGTTTTTAGTATATATATACATAAACTGAAAATGAATAAAATAAGCAGATTTTATAACTTTTTCGTTATATTGTTAATAGAAAAATTATATATTTTTAAAAACAAAACTGCCAATACTTTTTTATTGGCATATTACCATAAATAATTTCAAAAAGGCAACCAAAATATTAATTAAATAATGGATAATTGATTGGATCTAAATATAAGTACAGGTGTCAAAAATCAATACTGGTTAAAATAAAAACTTAATTCTTGGAACCATTTTAACTGTTCCACGGTACCCTAAGGTTCAGTGGAACACCATTTGGGAACCTTCGGTTTAGCTAAAAAGAATTGAATTTTTTATGGGGCCCTGATAACTGTTTTGTTCTAGACTGTTAAAGTCATCGTTTTGTTCTAGACTGTTAAAGTCATCTAATATTTATTCTAGCTTCTATACTGGCCCGCAACTAATTGTATGTGTTACAGAATATCACATGATTAAGGATATTTTGAATCTGCCAAACACTTTATCAAGGACCCCTCATTCATTTGATTTCCTGGTTGGAAAAGGAGGTAATTAATTTTACTTTTAATGCTTCGACGCAGATGGGACACTGGTGTCCATTTTATTTATGTTTTTTCTTTCGCTTTAATCAGAAGTAATTTAAGTTGCACTCTATATAATGATACTAAAAATAGAATCACTCCCTATATAGTTAAGCATGCAATCAAAGAACAGAGAAATTCGTTACTTACTGTGTGGTAGATATAGCAAGATTATAGCTTTTTAATTTTCATTGGAAATAAGTTTAGAGGTGTTTTAATCCTTTGTCGCAGATGAGACACCGGTGCCCCTTTCATGTATATTTTTTCCTGGCGTTCAATTCAAAATGAATTTTGGTATTTTTTTTTTATTATAAAAAAAACAATCTAATAGTTATTGAAAAAAATCTGTTAGATTATTGGGATTATATTTGAACTAAAATATAAAATCCAAAAAAATAGGGTTTTTTTTTCATTCATTTTCTAAATCTTATCTACGATTGATTTTGAAAATGAAAGAAATTTCAATGAGGAAGAACTGTTTCTCTTAGGTCTAAATTACTGCAAATTCATTCAAATTTGAAAAATTATTGTTTGAAAGTGAGAAATTTTGGGAAAATTTTACCTTGAACGCAAAAAAAGATGTCTCATGTTGTATTTTATCACAGATGTCTCATGCTATATTTCATAACTGTAAATTAATAAAATACTAAATATAATATTTTTCACTAATTTTGATCTAAATTAATACGAAATAATTATATGTCTAATAAAAATTCTGCGTCAAAAGGATTAACTATTGATCAAATGGTTGCTCCTCTGGCTACTTCGTCCGGACATAATTTGACTATAGTCGGGGCAAAGCTAACCTTTAACCAGTACCATGACAACGATAGCCTGTTTATATCAATTTCTGGTCAAATTTCACTTTTTGTATTATTTGTTTACTAATGCAAGCTGGTGTCCATTAATCTGAAGCTGGAATGCGCTGCGGACCGAATCTATGTCTTTCACAATGAAAGCTGAGTGCTTTTAACCACTGAGTTATTACGTTCGACAATCCCTTAATGGCAATAAACTCTACTTGTGGTTGGAGACGATTGAAACTTGCATTGTCGTCAGGTACAAAGTTCTGGTTAAAATTTAAACAAACACTCCAGCTAGTTATAAACAGGTGTCGGAATTATTATTGACAAAAAATTTTTTAAGTGTCGGTAATTTACCGATGAATCGGTAATTTACCGACAATCAGGAAATGATTGAAATTTATATAGCCATTCGATCGGGCCTTGAGGTCTAGTTTAAATGTAAGAATTCTAGGTCAAAATTGTGATTCACGATAAATCATCGTTGCCATACATAATGTGACTATACATTCTGACAGAGTAACTGTTAGGAAAGGACTGACCGATCAACCTCTCATCCATGGAAAGTCGTACGAACCAGAGAGAAATACACCCCAGTAAATAAAATAGAAATAATTTAATGTTTCTTGGGCAGGGTTGGAAACTACTGCTTTCGCTGATTTAGAAGTGGTCGAAATTTCATTATCAAAAACAAATTTCTACCCTCTCAGACAAAAGAGCGAGTTCATATGTAAACGAACCAGTAATAATAAAAGAAATTCATTTAGTTTATAAAAACTATAAGATTAATATATATTTTTAGGATTAGGTTCATTAAATGGAGAGGAGTGGAAAGAACAGCGTCGATTCACAATGCACACTATGAGGAATTTGGGACTTGGAAAAGGACTTTGGGAAACAATGATACAGGTGAAATAGACTGAAAATTCTAATTATTTTGTGTTTGATGAACAAATGAAGGAATTAATATGTAGTTTCTTTTTAATTCTTACTATTAAGTTACTGTAAAAATAAGATCTTGTAATTTAGTTCTAACCAACAACTCTTAAATGACCAACGATTTTAAAAATCAATTAAAGACAAACTAATGGAGATTCGGAACGGATTCGATTACGACACCAGATGGCGCTGTTGACTAAAAACTAAGAAGTATACCATTCTACTCCATTTCAGACACAGCTTTCTAAATGAAATATCTGTAAAAGGGTTTGTTAATTGCATCTTCAGGCTACGCCACATTGTTGCTGCAATTATCTATATATTTTTGGTATTAAATTTTTAGTAATTTTTATAATTATTCGAAGTCAGCTCTGCTATTGATGAACTTCACAATTTTGAAGTTTGTTGAGAATAAATTATCTTGTTTCTAAGCAGAATGCAGGCAGAGAACATTACAATTCAATTTTCAGCTCCTATAATTTTTATTTAACAATTTTTTTTAATCGTTTGTGATTTTTTGACACATTGAGCATTTCTCCGTACTTTATTAAATATGTTATTAATAACACTTTTGAGCATTTCACCCTCATTCTTAACTTGCAATACAGTTCGCAGTACGTCAAAAAAAGCTTTTGAAGCTTTGTTTTGAAATAAAATGGACAAATAAATTGTTATTTTTTATTCAAATCAACCCATTCCAGCTTTGACTTATACACTTTTGTTACGTTATTTATGTATGTACGTTGTGTATATACGTTATTTATGTATGTGTATGTATTTTTATTATACTTATGTATTTTTATTAATCAAAATCCTGATTTTGGGACCATCTGGCATCTTAGATTCACGAATTACCACTCTGTCAAGCATGATTCAGTTTTATTTATAATTTTTTTTTTCACTTATTAAAATGGAATTTTGGCCCCATGTCAAACATCTTGAATTAACATAACTCATGAATTAATTATTAAAAATTAATCTATGAATTAATTTTTTATATAATTCATGAATTAACTCTGTTAAGTATGATTCAGGCAACGAAGTTTAATCTTCAACTTATGTCCTTATACTTTTCACAAATCTAGAGGGTTCACGAAATATTACTTATGAATTAAAGTTAAGAATAGGGTTCTAATTTTTCTTAAAAGTTTTTTTTAAAACTAGATATTTAAATGTTATAACACCAAAATTGATGCCATGCCATTATGATCATCAATTCAGAACAGACATCATCAATTAATAACAGATTACAACCAATAGGAACACGAATCGTCAAATAGGAATGATGGGAACGACAATTGATTGATTTATTCCACTCAAATCATGTAGTTCAGCCTCTGGCTTGGACTATAGAGCTATAAGGAATCAAAACTCATGCATTAAAAATCTCGATTGTTTTATCATGAGCATTTTTTTTTTTTTTACAAGCAAGTAATTTTTAAAAATCCATTTGTTTTATCAAGAGTCTCAAAGTAATTTTTTTAAATCCAGTTGTTTGATTTAGAGAGTTTAAAGTTTTAAAAGAAGTGTTGTTTTATTTCTTTTAATTAAATTATGATAATTGTTACTTCATATGTACAATACAATCAATTTAATTAGAGATGTTATATAATAGTCATTTTAATAGTTCTTTCTAAAATATTATTCTTTTCATTTTTAATACATATTTTCATTTAGAATATATATTTGGAACATATTAAAAAAAGTTAAATAATTTTTTTCCCTTTTTTTCTTAGGAAGATGCAAATAAACTTGTTAATAAATTGAAAGATAAAAATGGGAAACCATTTTTCTTTGAGCCATTATTATCAAGATCTCAAATCACCAACAGTTTATCTCTACTTTTCGGTAGACATTTGGATGAAGAAACTGAAAAAGAAGAAATCGAAGTAAAGTTGTCTCTTTATAAATATAGATGTAGAGAAATGATTTGGTCAAAAATTACTGGGCTGTGAGTTAAAGTAAAAATTGTCATTTAAATATTATATAGAACGAAAACTTTTTCCATTTAATTTCAGTTAAACCTAATGTGCTTTTTTTTTTACGATTTTGTAATGAAATATAGAAATAATTTATGATACTATACTGAAATATCTTAAGGAACCAGATTTACATTCTGATTTTTTGACCAAAAGAAATTCACTGTATTTCCACATAATTTTCTGTTTAAAAGTTCACCTTTTTTAGTAAAGAGAGTTACGTAGCAAACCTTGTTTTAAGAAAAAAAGAACAACAACCTACAGAATCTGAAATGATGTAGTTGATGGGAAAATGTGTTATTGATTGTTGTAAAAATAAAGTTATACAATACGTATGTACTATCTCATGACGGAAAAATACGTACTTTTTTAGAAAAAAATGCAGCTAATCACAGGGTCTTAGAAAATTGATTTCTGAGGAAGATGCTTTCAATCAAAGCATAAAATAATACAATCATCATTATGATTATGACAACTGAATTGCAAACTATATATGATTAAAAATTAATTGTAATATTCTAAACAGTAAAATAATATTCCAAACATACATGATTTATGCTTTCTTTTATTATTATTATTATCTGTTAGATTAAAAACTACACGAACACGCACGGATCTCAATGGATTCTATAAATTTTTAATTAAAAATTTCATTCTTACAAATGGATACCTGAGGCGAATTCTTGAATTAATCCTTTGAAAATGGAGTGTAGTTAGTGCTAAAGGTAAAAGGTGTTAAGAAAATCAATTAATTAAGAAATTAGTGCTAAGGGTATTAGTGCTAAGGGTAAAGGTTAAGAGTAGACTCAGCCACAAGAGCCGACTCAGCCACAGGACTATTTATCTTCATAGAGATGCAAGAGCTTCTTTACAATAAGGAACTAGTAAAGATGCTCCAATCCTTTCTCGCTGATGTCAGAGCCTAATCCTGCTATATGGATTTTGCTATATTGATGATTATAGCTTTGCTGTGATCCTGAACTTTTATTTTTAATTAGAGATTCACATCACTTAATTGCCATGATCAACTTATCATCATCGATGAATCAGTTAATGACGCTTCGCTGCAGTGTACTAAGATAGACTCTATAGTTTATGTTCTAATGTTCAGTATGATGACAATTGCTAGAATTTTGAAATTTTACATATTTTATACTTATTTATCTTGCGAAAATTTTTTCCTTCTCTTTTTTCTTCATTTTTACGATTTCATAAGTAATTACATTTTCCTGCAAACTCTGTACTCAATGCTTTATTAAAACTTTAATATTTTAGGAAAGGCTCTAAACTAGATCAGTAACTTTCTGTGAAAGAACGTGGCTTAAAAAATAATTTTTATATTTTTCTATATTTTAGACAGTTTAGAGGGCACTATGAGGGCCTTTTTTTGTCCCACGGACCATAGGCTGTGCATCCCCGCCATATATACTGACATGACATGATTCGTTAATTTTGTTCTAGATACTTATAAGAAGTCGTAACTAATATGATGCATTTCATGGATGATGCATTTCATAGATTAATAATAAATGATGTATTTCATAGATAATGTGTAAAGTTGGCAAAGAAATGATGAAACATATGGTATCAGTCAATCTAAACATTATGTTTCCTGGGGCGTTCAAAGTTCTTGAAGCTTTGAACATTAAAGGCATGAAAGATTTCATGGTGATTCTCAAGAAACTTGAAAAGTTTATTGGGTAAGTAAACCTATTGATTTCAATTACATATTCTTTTAAAAAACTTTTTATTCTGACATTTTTACCAGTTAACTGTTATGCCTGAATAGCGTTCGGATGCCGCGAAAGAGAACTTTGATTTGTCCACGCTTTGAATCCCAGCATGTGTTTTTAAGGAAAAGTTAGATTTCGAATCAAACTTTTATTTTCTATTAAAAGCTAGGTTCTGGAACCCACCAATCTCTTGAATGAAAAGTTAGTGTTTTTACTTCAAATAACTTAAACAATATTGAGATGCCTAAGGTATATACGTATTTGTACAACTTTATTCATGCTAGGTATTTTAAATTAGCCACCTTTTCAAAGGTAAAATTAATTTCCCTTTTTTTTACTTAGTATTTTTGTCTGTCCTGATTGCGGAACCCTGCTTCGAACCTCCTATAACTCCAGAACCATAAGTGAGAAGATTCTGAATTTTGGACTTTGTGGTTTCCCCCCGCATGTCTCGTAGTTACTCAGTCAGTCAGTAATGTTTTAATTTTAAGGAGTTTGATGGAATTATTGATGAAAATGTAATTAAATAAATTGTTTTTTCTTTGTACTGAAATCTAGCCTGATCTTATTAGAATACGTTACAACGTCAACTATACGGAGCAAATTTAGCCCCAATCCTAAAATTCGTTTGAAAATTTTAATTTGTCTGTTCAGGAGAAATATTTGAAAAATGATTTTTTTTTCTTCATTAATTTAACATTAGCTATTGTTATAAATAAAACTGTAAACCAGAGGTTTTCAGCTGTGGAACTCTAAATGGTTGGCATTCTTTTGGAGAAATCCTGAAACTTAATGAATAAATTTTTTCAGTAATAATGAACACATTAATTAACAAAAGATTATTAATTATTTTAAAAATACGCAACAATCTAAATTTTTTCAATTATTTTGAAAACATTAAAAGAATGAATGAAGTATGATTTTTTTTTTCATCACATCGTTTGCTCAATAATAGTCTTAATTTTTTTTTCTTTCTTTTTTTTTTTGCCAGACAGTTGAATTCACAGTTTTAAAACGATATCTGGTCTAGTTCTTAATTTAATTTTAGTTCATGCTTAAACTGAAAACATCTTGGAAATTTAAAAAAATATTTTTGACAATTAAATACCACTGGAATTCGAACCTGAAACCTCATTGGGAACCCTGCTCGATCCCTGCAGCCAATGCGGCTCTCTCTCGTATTATACTCGTTATAAATTTTTATTTGAGTTCCTCAAGCCATTGGCAAGCAGTTGCTCAGACAGTTGAATCCAATACAAACCACCACGACAGCGGCCTACTAGCAGATCATTAGCACAAGTCCCCGATTTGGTCTCGATTATAAGCACCACCAATTGGTAGACATGCAAAGGAGGCCTGAGTTTAATCCAAACCCAAATCCACAATGTCCATTGTCCGCAGTCGACTTAGTTAAAAACCAAGCCGACCGTAGCAGAGCAGAGCAGCAACCGCTCTGCGACAAAGAGACACGGCCCTCTGACTAGAAAGTTTTCGAACTCAAAATATGCTACAAAATGCACTGAAGTAAGAAAACAAACAAGGATTACAAAAAAGTTGTCTCAAATCCGTTTTATAAAAACTTAAAATAGTAAAAATTAAAGTGGTAAGAAGAAAGATGGATGATTAAAAGTACTTTAAATAACGCGTTTTGTAATAGGATTTTATATAAGTTAATACAAGACCAAACATTCGTTGAAAAATTTCTCGTTAAAAAGGGGATTGGAAAAAGAGTGGAAAGGAAATTAAAAATAAAATTAAATTTCTTATTTTTTGGGCAAAACAAAACAAGCAAAAAAAGGGCTGAGAAATTACTGAAAGAAAGTTTAACTAAACTCAGTGGCAATAGAGGGCCAAGGAATACTGTGCCCATCCGTAGCCCCCGAGAAGATAGAAGGAGGGCCGTAACCTCCCTTTTTCGGAGATTACGGCCCATCCCAATTTTCTTGACCTTAGGCTCTGCGGTGCAAGAACAGATTTTCCGACTGTGTAGTCAGTCGCACGAGGAACCCCAAGTGTTTAGTCTACAAGCATGCTTGGTACTCAAGTTTAGAACTGAATAAATCTATAACAATTAATGGTATATTCTCATTATGGAAGATGTTTTTGCAAATTTTGGATGTAAGTTCTTGAATTTTTGGAAACTCTTTTAAATCTAAAACGGACATTTTAACAGGGCTCTTTTCCTTCTGCACACAAAACTAAAACCACTCGCGAATGATGCAAACTATATTTTCCTATTTTTAATAAGTACTACCTGCTAAGCAGACCAATGGATTTTCCTCTTAGTCTATTTTAGAGAACAGGACTTGTGCTAAACGTTATAGGACTATAGCATCCATAAAAATTTCCGATTCCTCGTAACGGGTCAGTACATTAAAACAACAAAAGGCTTATATCATATCCAATTTCCGAACCGGGTTAGTTCATACATTAAAATAAAAAAATTAAAAAAAAAAGTCTCACTAAAGAAACAACGAACCTAAGACGTTCTAAAATCATATGGGCAATTCCATGAAAAGGGGGAA